AGCCACAAAATAAACACAATAACAAAAGCCCACAGGGAACTGCGGTGAAGGAGTGTTCTGAGGCCGATGTGCTCGCTATGTGAAGGTAACGGGATTCCAGTGGAATCATTGTACCTAGAGTAAACAATGAAAAAGCTGTTTTTCAGCAGACATCAGAATGAAGAGCTGCTTCCTAGAAGTCCTTTGACAGGGACAAAATCACTATAGAAAGCAGTGACTGTTTTCCGTTATCTGCAGAGTTGTTTTTCTGAAGGAGCTTTACAGCCTGGGCATGGCTTTGGTCACGAGACGGTCCTGGCAATCCTGGACCATCTTCCATTACTGAGTACTGCAAACAGTTCACAATAGGGACCAAAGCTGCAGGGGTGTGGTGTTTCCTTCAGGAAACGTATAGATTAGATTAGGGGTTTTGGTATGAGAAAAGTGTTCTATCCCAAAAAACCTTGCTAATAATCAATAAACACGCTTCTGCATGGTGGCTGTTGGAGGCTCACTGGGACCTCTCTCTCCCTGCCTCAGAGCCTGATTACACCTGGGCCTGACCCTCTTTCTTTGATCACTCTGATTAACTGAAAACACCCACATGGGAAGGTGTGCTTCAGAGACTGGAGGCCCCTGGGGAGGTTTGAGGGAGGGGTAGGGGGGCAGGCAGGGGATCTGAGGGGATTCCCAGCAAAGAGCCATCTAGGCCAAAGCTGAGCACTTCTTTCAGGGTGTGGAGAGGTTTGTCCTAGGCTGAAGTGCAGGATGGGCAGAAAGGATCAGGATGTGTGCTCACGCAGCAAGCCAACAGGTGACCAGCTAGGCTGGTGAGAGACGAGGCGGTGCCTGCTTTGAAGAGGGGAAGGATTGCTATGAGGAGGGTAGGAGGGATCTAAACCACAGGAAAACTCAGGATCAATTGAACCTGAGGCCTGAGTGGCCCTCACACAGCAAGTTCCCCTCACCTGGTACACAGTCGGCAGGATCCAGCTGTTGCTCTTGCAGAGGGTACAGATCTCAGCCACCTCCCAGGAGGCATAGTTGGACAGACCAAGCTCCAGAAATTTGCCCTGTAGGGGAGGGGACTTGTTACAACTCAGCTCAGCCCACAGAACCAAGAAGAGACCTGGTGAGGAACCTGGGAAACTAGTCTGTGCCCAGAGAGCCTCACTGGCTTGGCAGACTCAGGGCAAGAAGCATAGTGACCTCGTCTCTGGGCTCAGGCCCTCCCTCACCTCCTGATGCAGCTGGTGGCAGGCACGAAGTGTCTCCTCTACAGGAGTGCCGTGGTCAGGAGCATGTAAGTAGAAGAGGTCCACCCGGGGACACTGTAGCCGCTTCAGAGATGTCTCTAATTGGGACCGGACACTGTCAGGCTTCAGTGACTTCCCATCCCAAGGGTTGGCCTTGGTGGCAATTTTCACTTGGAAAAAGATTATAATGATTAAGATTTATTAGAAGGCCAGGCACAGTCAAACCCAACTTTAATCCTAGTACTCAGGAGGCAGAGGCAAGAGGATCTGAGTTCAAGGCCAGCCTGGTCTTCAGGGTGAGTTCCAAGATGGCCAGGGCTCCACAAAGAAACCCTGTCTCAGAAACAAACAAACAAACAAACAAAAACACAAAAAAGAAAAAAGGATTTATAAGAATTATTCACTGGCCATGCACATGTGAATGTTCCTGGCTAAATAACTTATCTAATTTGTAAAATGAGGTGATAAGAATGGAACTGTCCCCACATGGGAGCCACAGGGGCTACATTTTTAATTATCTTTTCCTTTTTTTAAATTCCAGGTAGTGGGCTGGAGAGATGGCCCAGTGGTTAAGAGCACTGACTGCTCTTCCAGAGGTCCCGAGTTCAATTCCCAGCAACCACTTGGTGGCTCACAACCTTCTGCAGTGGGATCCGACGCCCTCTTCTGGAGACATACATACAGATAGAGAACACTTACACATATAAAATACATAAATAAAGGAATCTTAAAATTCTAGGGGTTTTAAAAATCTTTCTGATTTTTATATGCTATCTGTGAACTGAGTTTTAAAAACACTCTTTAATTAAGAGTACAAACGTTTACTATCAGTAGAGATGGCTCAGCAGCTAAAAGCACTAGTTCCTGCAGAGGGCCTAGGCTGGGTTCCCAGCACCCACACGGCAGGTTAGAACCATCCATCACTTTAGTTCCAGAGGATCCGATACCCTCTTTGGGTACAAGGCACATACGTGGTACGTATCCACACGTGCAGGCAAAACACGTGTCTGCATATAATTAAAAAATTACATCTCTAAAAGTTTATTTATTTATTTATTTTTAATGAGAAAGTACCTTAATAGACATGAAAAGAAGACACGCTGGCTGGTAAGTTGTCTCCATAGGTGCTTGCCATACAGGGCTACATTTTTGTTTTGTTTTTTTTGTTTTTCGAGACAGGGTTTCTCTGTGTAGTTCTGGCTGTCCTGGAACTCACTCTGTAGACCAGGCTGGCCTCGAACTCAGAAATCCGCCTGCCTCTGCCTCCCAAGTGCTGGGATTAAAGGAGTGTGCCACCGCCGCCCGGTACAGGGCTACATTTTTAATTAAGAGCACATATATGGCAGGGCAGGGATATGGGACTTGAGACACGATGGTACAGACTCCCCATGTTCAAACATCGTCTCAGACCTTGGACTTGATGTTCCCAGGTATTGTCAGGATGCTGTGAGCCCTTTAATTGGCCCCTTCTCACCAAAGAATGCAGATAGGGGATGGAGAGATGGCTCACCAGTTCAGAGCACTGGCTGCTCTTCCAGAGGTCCTGAGTTCAAGTCCCAGCAATCACATGGTGGCTCACAATCATCTATGAGATTTGGCGCCCTCTTCTGGCATGCAGGTGTACATGCAGAAGAGCACTCATACATGAAATAAGAAATAAAGACTGGAGATGGAACTCAAGGGGCCAGGCCTGAAAGCAGGGAGACCCTTACAGACTGTAAGAATTTAGGCAAGAGGGTCTGGAGAGATGGATGGCTCAGTGGTTTAGAGAACTTACCGTTTTGCAGAGTATACAGATGCTCCCAGAAACAATCATGTTGGTTTACAATCATGTGTAACTACAATTCCAACCCTCTCCTAGCCTCTGTGGGCACACACATACATGCAAATAAAATAAATCTTTAAAAAAAAATTAGGGAAGAGATAGAGGGGCCTGAATGTGTTCCTTGGAAGCCATCAATCTTAACCAAAATCCCTGTCAGATTCTCAGAAGCCTGTATATTCAACCGTACTGTAGCTGCTCCTCAGTGCTCTGTACTGTTTCTTCTCAGATAGGGAACGAACTACCTGGACTGATGGACGAATGAGTGGATTCTGGCAAGGACAAGAGGAGCCCTCAGATCCCACAGGATAAAGGCCAGAAGACCACAGTATCTCCCTATTACAACACCGGCCCCCAATCCATTCTGTCTGTAAACTTTTGCCACAGGTGTAACCGGAGGGCTTTGGCCTAGTGAGTCCTCAGACCCAAAGAAAGAAATAGATATGGACTAAAGAAGATGGGGGTGGGGCGGGGGAGGAACAAAACGTTTACTATCAGGAGAGTCATCCAGGAGAACGCTACAGCGTTCAGCTTGAGATCCGCTCACTTCCGTCCCTCCAGCTTACCCAACTGTGAGTCTAAGGAGCCTTCTGCACAGGAACCGGGAGGAGGAACCTCAGGACGGGTAAAAGTGTGGCCTCTTTATGTAACAGGCACCCTCCAATAGCTTCACGCAGATGAAGGGCGGTTCCCCTCCTCCTCCACCGCGGGACACGCGCCACTGACCACGCTGCCCCACACATGCACTTTGAATCTCTCAAACTCCATCTTCCAACAGCTCAGACTGCAGCCTCTGGTGCACCCTACTTACACGGTAGGGTCCATCCCCAGTGCTCTAAGAGCTTTGCCTACTGCTCTCCCTGGGGCCTCCACAAGCTACTCCTCAGCAATCAGTTTCAGTCGTCTTCGTCAGATTTTAACTCTCCGTGGAGAAATCACTTCTCCCACGGCAGCCCACAGAGCTACAGAGTTTGCCCTTGTTAAGACCTGGCCCAGAGAATGGGCACAAAGGCCGAAATGCCCCTACCCCCAGCTGGGCCCTAGGCATTGGTGCCACAGGTCTCCTTGAGACCCACAGGTACTGTCAACTGAATGGGACAAAGTCTAGTCCGGACCAAAGACCGGAATGATAAAACGTGCTCCTGGAGCGCAGGGGTGGTGAGGGCAAGAGGGGAGGGAACGAACACAAAGTCTGGTGGGGGATGCTGGGGGGAGGGACGGCTATGGGCAACTGTTGGTTAGGAGGCAGGGGTCGCGGTAGGAAGCAAAGGGCCAGAGAGAGTAAGCCAAACATTAGAGTAGGAAGCTTCCTCGCACCCGCCTCGTAGCTGCAACTCTAGAAGCTTCTAAGGAGGGGGGGGGGGACAAAGTTCAGTTCACTAGTTCAGGACTCCAGTTGCCTTGGGAGCTTGGGGTAGACACGGCTGTGGGTCCGGAGCTCAGAGGCTCCTGGATGCAGACCCTGGCCGGTGCACGCCGCGTGCAGGCAGCAGCTCCGTGCGGGGCCGGGGGGAGGCCGGGTGCAGCGGTTACCTGTGCAGTCGCCGCTGCCCAGCCCGAGCCCCAGGCCGCCCAGGATGTTCTCGGACTGGCCGTCGCAATACATGAAGGCCGTGTCCAGCTCGCTGTGGCCGCGCTCCAGGAAGGCGCGTACCGTCGCGGCGCTAGCGCTCGCATCCATGCGGCGCCCCATCTCCATGGTGCCCAGCACCGTAGCGGGCCGGAGAGGGGCACCAGAGGCGGTGCGGGAAGGCGGAGGTCCGGACATGGCGAGAGGACGCACGACCGAAGGCCCGGAGGGCCGAGCACAGCGACCAGCTGCGCGGCCCACGGCTCGGGACGCTGCACGCAGCATGGAGACTGCGCTTGCGCGCTCGAAGCCGCAGGCTCCGCCCACAGCGGGAGGGCGGGGCGTCTTAGAGGTCAGCTGACCCCGGCGGGCTCGGATCCTGAAACTGAGACCGGCTGTGGATCTTGAACTGGTGAGGATGAAGGGGACTGGTGGCAGGCCCGGGCTGGCGGTCGGGACTCCAGGCGCACCCAGGCCAGTCTTTCCCACACCCTCCTTCGGCTGTGCACGGTCCCCGGCGTTGGTCACCTCCTGGGGAGCACGATCTTGGGTCTCAGCCCGTCCTGGCCAGGGATCCGGGATGGCCCCACTTGTCACCTGCGGGTCCCTGTCTTCCGGCCTCTTGGCTTCCCTGGACTGGGCAGCCTTGTTTTCCCTGCTCTGGGCGGGGGCCTCGCGGCGCTTGCCCCAGCTGCTGCCCTGTCATTATCCCTCAGAACTCGCAGAGTCACCGGAAGGAGTTAGAGCCTTGGTTTGGAGGCCTGGAATGGGTAGGATCCCGGAGCCATTGCGCTCTCTTGTCACATTCTCCCCAGCCCTGCAGGTAGGGAGCCCAGAATGCCCCATTCCTCGCCAAGCTCATGGCAGGATTCCAAGGAGAGTTGGTTAGAAATATGAGGACGCACTCATGAGGTGGAGGCAGGAGGGTATCTGAGTTGGAGGCCAGCCTGGTCTACAGAGCTAATTTCAAGACAGCCAGGGGCTACACAGAGAAACCCTGTCTCCAACCGCTCCCGTCCCCACCCGCCCCTAAAAGAAAAAAAGAAGTGTGTAGTTTCAGGTTTTGTTCACTTCGTGTGTACTCCATGCTACAGTGTGATCCAGGGGGCTACAGCAAGAACAGAATATTGCCGGGCGGTGGTGGCGCACGCCTTTAATCCCAGCACTTGGGAGGCAGAGGCAGGTGAATTTCTGAGTTTGAGGCCAGCCTGGTCTACAGAGTGAGTTCCAGGACAGCCAGGGCTACACAGAGAAACCCTGTCTCGAACCCCCCCCCCCCCCAAAAAAAAGAACAGAATATCACTGTTTGACTGTGCTAGATGTGCATGGTAGGAAGCACCTCCACGGCTTTGCTTGGAGCTGGAGAGGAGCTGGGTGTGGCAGGAGGTACTGTCTCCTGGCCAGCCTTTCCGGATGGTTACTATGAGAGTCGATCCTTCATAGTACTGGGGGTTGCAGCTCAGTGGTAGAGTCCTTGACAAGCGTGGAATATGGAGGTTTGGCTTTTTTTTTTTTTTTAAATCATAATCTGCAGTCAGTTTAGGAGGTAAGTACCTTGTAAGATTCCCTTCAAGATTTTACAGATCAGAACACTAAAACTCCAACACTTGCCCAGAGGAACTCAGTCCTAGGCCCTCTAAACAAACAACTTTCCTTGCATACCCTCCCTGCTCCCCTGTTCCTTTGCTATCTCTTCTCCTCCTTTTTCTTTTTTCTCTTTGTCATGCTTCCTTCCCTCTCCCTCTCCTTTACATTTTCCGAGCCTTCGTTGTTCAGCTGCTGCATCCAGACCCACTTGACTGGGAAGAATACGGACAGGGAGAGAGACATACTTGAAAAACAGTGTTTAGCCAGGCGGTGGTGGCGCACGCTTTTAATCCCAGCACTTGGGAGGCAGAGGCAGGCGGATTTCTGAGTTCGAGGCCAGCCTGGTCTACAGAGTGAGTTCCAGGACAGCCTGGGCTATAAACAGAAACCCTGTCTCGAAAAAACAAAAAAAAAAGAAAGAAAAAAAAGAAAAACAGTGTTTAACAGGGACAGTGTTGGATCCTCTCCAGGAGTGTGTTCCAGGGGTCTGGAGGAGGTGGTGGCAAGGCCTCTCGGACAAGGCATTTTAGAAATGGGTTGGGGTATCTCTACCAGGCGTTTGTGGTAGAGAAGGGTTCCCTAGAGGCAGAGAGCCTGTGCATGGGACTCTGAGGATCTGGGGCAGGAGATGAGGTTAAGAGGGGCATTCTTGGGGTCCTTAGGACCTTGCCTCTGTGATTTTGAACTTGATCCAGCATCAAAGTGGAACCTGCATCTGCTTTGGTGGGGAACACCTGCCTGGCTTTGCTTGGAGTTAGAGGGGAAATGGGCGTTGTGGAGATTGTCTCCCTGGCCAGCCTTTCTGGACATGAACCATGAGAGTCAGAATCCTTCTTAATAGTGGGGGATATAGCTCAGCATTAGAACATGTGACTAGCATCTATGAGGTCCTAGGCCCAGTCTTTGGTGTCAGGGAGTCTTTGAAGAGACTGGGAGAGCTGCTTGAACCCAGGGTCCCCGCTCATCTGACTCCACAGCTGTGGGGAGGTACCACACTGGTCAAGATACTGGGTTCTCATCTTCAAACCATCACTCCCACTGGGTCAGATGTGAGGCTCATAGCTTTCTGTTTGGCTCAGAAGGATGTTGTTAGCCCCCATTCATAGACAGGGTCAGCCAGACTGACTCACTTGCCTGAAGCCACTCAACCCTACCTATGAAATGAGGACAGTGTTCCCTACGGCCTGGGCATTAGATGTTGTGAGGGACGGCAGGGTATGCATGTGTGATGAATTGGGGAAGCCCACTCAGAATCTACAGGAGGAGGTGGGGGTGGGGTCCAGTAGGATGTGTGAGGGGTGATAAACAAGAGGACTTCTTAGGGTGCAGTTCTTACCTAGACTGTGTGCAAATTGGGGTGCCAGGTAATTGCTCCCCAAATTGTCTGTGCTGATATCATCCACTCGAGCCTCCAAGACCAGGGAGGACCCTTCCCGCCATCTTGTGTCCCACACTGGAGCTGCCACAGTGAGCTGCCAGACTGCCAGGAGGCACCCTTAGCCCCAGCTCTAGTAGCTGGTCACTTTAGGGCTGAGAGTCTGAGCTTCCTAAGAAAAGGAGCTGACTTGCTTCCTCTCCCTGCCCTGCTCACTGCAAGCTCAGCAGTCCTGGGTCCAGCCAGAGCTTTGTGAGGAGTCCAGGCCTCCCTGCCATAACTGGAAACTAAGGAACGGCCGTGGGTGAGTTGGCCTGGATGAGCAAAGGCCTTCTTAGCTCAGTGACGAAAGGGGAAGCCTGGCCCGGGGCAGCCTCAGTGAAACCTCTCCCATGGGGGTTTGACTCTCTCGCTTTCTGGCTGGGTAGCCCTGGCAAATGACTTCCCTCTTGTGGTCTCAGGTTCCTCCAGAATATGTCAGGGAGGGTCCATGAAACACAGGTGGAGGACACAGTGTGTGACGCTGGCCAGGACTGGAGAAGATGGCTCCAGCCAAGCCTCGCTCTCCCTGCTTGCTCTCTAGGTTATCATGCACACAGTGTGACCACATAGGAACTCTGTGCAAGTGGCAAGGACCTGAGAGGACCCCTTTCTTCCTGTTCCTATAACCAGCCGTACTCTGGCTTGGGCTGTGGCTTCCTCATAGGTAGGTATCCTGTATGTCTTCCAAGCTTTGGGAGGGACATAGGCTCCAGCATCCTGTCCAGGTACCGAGCAACCCTGGGAACCGCCTTCTTATCCCCACATGAAAGATGCATGCGAGCTGGGCAGTGGTGGCGCACACCTTTAATCCCAGCACTTGGGAGGCAGAGGCAGGCGGATTTCTGAGTTCGAGGCTATCCTGGTCTACAGAGTGAGTTCCAGGACAGCCAGGGCTACACAGAGAAACCCTGTCTCAAAAAACAAAAAAAAAAAAAAAAAAAAAAACAAAAAAAAAAAAAAAGAAAAGAAAGAAAGTTGCATGTGGTAGCCTGCCCTCCAGTGAGTCCTGGCCTCAGAGACCTTGTCAGCAGAGTCATGAGAAGGAATGGAAGCCTGGCCTGATGGTGCAGACCTGTAATCCTCACATTCAGATGTCTGACACATGAGAACTGAAGGTTTAAAGGCCAGCTTGAACAGTTCGTGAAACCTTGTCTTGAGATACAAAGTTAAAAAAAAAAAAAAAAAAAGGCCAGGGATACAGGACAGTATCCCAGGAGGCTGCCGGCCTCCTAGGCAGCACCCAGAAAGCTCTAGATCTGACCTCCAAAAGAAACAAACCAACCAACCAACCTAAATGTTTACAAGTTGCATCAAAAGATGCTGTTGGCCTATAGGCCCACCCACTCCACATACAAACTCATTTAACTGGTACAGCAGCTCTGTGAAGTAGGGCCTCTTGTTAGCCCCACTGTGCAAAGGGCAGGACCAGTAACTGCCGCTCACAGGACTGTGAACAGGGCTAGCCCTCCCAAGGCTGGCGACCTCTTTGTCCCTTTGTGTAGGACAAACCTGACCCTCTTGCCCACGTTCATATACCTGTACCTTCTTCCCCGCAGGGACCCTCCCTCTGCAGCCATGGTCTGGAGGACAGTAGGCACCAGCAACTTCTCCAGCTGCCCCAATGGCTCTGTCCAGTGGATCTGGGATGTGTTTGGTGAATGTGCCCAGGATGGCTGGGATGAGGCCAGTGTGGGCCTGGGCTTGGTCTCCATCCTCTGCTTCGCTGCATCTACCTTCCCGTGAGTGTGTGGCTGTGTGGCTGGAGTGGGGTGGGGAGGGGCGGGGCTTTAGGGGTTGGTGGCGTTCATGTACTGCACTGGGTTTGGGTAGTCCAGGGTGTGGCTGGCTGGTCCTTGGCCTCTCTAGGTCCCGGGCCAGATATACTCCCTGCCTGATCATACTCATGGATGTCCAGCTCGCTGTGAAGAAGGGAGGCCGCCTGGAATCTAGCATAGGCTAGACCTCATGTTGAATGATGTCGGGTAACCTTTTCTGCCATATATTGAGTACCACTGTATTCCCGGCCCATGTCTGAGTACTGGGGGCATTTAACTTCTTTTAGCCCAGTGAAGTAGGCAGCGAACCTTTCTCTGTCTCACAGACGAGATGCGGGTTAGGTCATGTGTTCTGCGTTGCTCAGCTGGCAAGAGATGGGTGTGGACACTGGGAGGGCTGGGATGCGTCGGTTATGGCCGCATCCTTAGAGTTAAAAAAGGCTGGCTGGTGGTGAAGATGGCAGCGGCGGCTACAGGAGCCAGAGTGTCCACACTCAGTTCCACCATCTACTGGCTGTAGCCTCGCTCTGGGCCTCAGATCGTATTTACCCAGTATGTGTACCCTCTAGAAAGCTGGCCCGTGCTAGCGTCTGCTTACATGAAGCATGAGGGAGAGCACCTGGCCACTCAGCAGAAGCAGGAAGGGCTGCAGGCAGGAAGAACTTAAGTATGCGCTCCTAGCAGGCAGGAAGCGGCTGGCCATGAGCAGCAGGTATATAAAAGAAGGAACAGCTACTGTCATGCCTGGCCGGGCATAGTGCGTGGGTGAGGCGGCCGGGTGTGACCTCAGGTGTTCACCAAGGGCCCTATTGTCTAAGGCTGGTGTCAATGTTTTTAAAATTGTTTTAGGGTGGGCCATGCTGGTGCACGCCTTCAATCCCAGCACTTGGGATGCAGAGACTGGTAGATCTCTGAGTTGAATACCACTCTGGTCTATAAATAGAGTTGTAGGACAGCCAGGGCTACACTGGTTTAGGCAGTGCTGGGTATTGAACCCTGGGCTTCATGCGTGCCAGGTAGGCACTCTGTCAGCTGTGCTACATCCCAGGCCTTTCTGAATTTTTATTTTTATCATCTGTTTTTATCTGAATATATACAGACAGAATAAACAGTTGAGGCTGGCCTAAGTGGCACTGCCATGCGCACCTGATGATCTGAGCTGGGTTCCTGGAAAACACGTACAGGTGGTGGGAAAGAACTGACGCCACAAAGCTGTCCTCTGACCGCCACACGTGTGTGGTGCCACCTGTGTGCCCCCGATAATAAATTATTGCTTTAAAAAGTCGAGGGGCGGGCTGGAGAGGTGGCTCAGTGGTTAAGAGCACTGACTGCTCTTCCAGAGGTCCTGAGTTCAAATCCTAGCAACCACATGGTGGCTCACAACCATCTGTAATGGGATCTGATATCCTCTTCTGGTGTGTCTGAAGACAGCAACAGTGTACTCATATACATGAAATAAACAAATAAATAAATCTTAAAAAAAAAAAAAGTCAAGGGGCTGGGGGTGTGGTAGAGCTCTGACCTAGCACATGTGAGGCTCTGGGCTCCATTGTAGACCCGGGGGAGCAAAATGGGAAAGCCAGATGTGGAGGCATACGAATCCGAGGCCTTGTCACAAACCTCTGGCCAGGGTGACTCTGAGTAGTGACAGCAACATGGCCATCTGTCCCCAGTGTGCAGTGTCCCAACATATCTTGACCTTCCTTGTGTTGGGACTTAAGGAGCCATCACCCGAGACCCCGGGACCCCAGGACCCCGGGACCCCAGGCTCTTGGCAGAAGCCGCTCACTTTATATTACATTTGCCTTCATACAACCCAGCCACGGCATGAAGGGCCTCAAGAAACAGTCTGGGGACCAAAAGCCTGAGCTCAGAACTGCAGGCATCTGGCCACCCTTTTCAGCTGTGCCCCGAGAGTGACCAGGCTATAGGTCTGTTCTTTTTTTTTTTTTTTTTCGAGACAGGGTTTCTCTGTGTAGCCCTGGCTGTTCTGGAACTCACTCTGTAGACCAGGCTGGCCTCGAACTCAGAAATCCGCCTGTCTCTGCCTCCCAAGTGCTGGGACTAAAGGCGTGCGCCACCACCGCCCGGCCCAACCAGATTTTTAAAAAGAGCCAAGACGCTTCTCATAGCCATGCATATGCTTCAGGACCTATCCACACCCTTCGTCCCTTCTGGAGACCCCAGGCTGCAGTGAGGGAGAATCTGAGTAAGGCTGACGATCTGTCTGGAAAGCGACACAGCGGCTGTCCCTGGGCTGGTAGGGGACGGGCTGGTAGAATGGCTCCACAGGTCAAAGAAACCCTCTGAGGATACTGTCTGGGAAGTTCTGAGTTCCAACCCGAGGGTGAGCACCTGCGCTCTCCTGCCCACTGCTGCTCAGGTCATACTCTTACCAAGTCTTATTGGCCTTCTTAGGCCATAGCCTCTGAGCCTGCGTCCCCTCCCCTTCCACAGCCAGTACATCAAAGCCTGCAAGACAGGCAACATGGACCAGGCCCTGTCACTGTGGTTCCTGCTGGGCTGGATCGGTGGAGATTCCTGCAACCTCATTGGCTCCTTTCTGGCAGACCAGCTACCCCTGCAGGTGGGTGGGACCCAGGCACAGGAGAGCAGCTAAAAGGACAGATAGGGATAGCTGTGGGGGGAGAGGCTGCAGCTTCAAATCTGTCAGCCCACACCCCATGGCTACCATCCTATGTAAGATAGTGAGTCAAGGCTTCTGTCCGAGTCAGATTTCTAATCCCCACGTAAGCCACATATCACATATCACAGGGGCCTGTGGTTCTGAGGGGTTGTGGGCCCAGATACATTTTCTGAGTTTAGGGCCCTCAAAGTAGCAAGTGGGGTTTTTCTTGGGAAGCACAGATATTATTCTGTGGCCAGCAGAACTGGGGTCAATCAGGAAGGCCGTGGCTACTCTGTGTCAATGGCACTAGCCACGGATGCAGCGTCGACTGTCCAGGCTAGATTCTTGCTAGACCCTTTGTCTACCTGATCCCCCGTTTGTTCAGGTAAGAATAGGAAACCTGTTCAGCTGAAGAAACAGGGAATCCAAGAGGTGAATTGGGCTGGTCACCACGGGGGTGCAGTGAGGGGTGCTGGGGTGTCACCACTGGGGTGCAGTGGAGGGTGCTGGGGCGGTCACATCATGGCCTGGGACTGCAGCCAGTGCCCGGGTCTGCTTCTCTCTCAGACCTACACGGCTGTGTATTACGTCCTGGCTGACCTGATGATGCTGACACTGTACTTCCATTACAAGTTCAAGAAGCGGCCTTCTCCGTGTGAGTCCGAGGGTCACTCTGGGTCGGGCTCAGCTGCCCTTGGGAAGCCTGGGACCTGAGGTGAAACAGGCTGAGATGGAGATATGTATACATCAAGCCGCAGGGAGGAGACTCCACTTGTTCCCTCCTCTCTCTGGTTCAGAGCCAGAAATGAGCATGGGTCACAGAGCAGACTTCATTGGCTGAGTGCTGACCCCCCCTGCCCCCCGCCCTGCGCCCTGACTGTCTTTCCTTTGCATCCCTAGGGGAAGGGTACTGTTGTATGCCCATTCTACAGGTGAAGGACTGGAGCTCAGATAGGCTAGGTCACTTGTCCAAGGTCACACAGCTACTGAGAAGCAAGGCTGGGACCCCCATCCCAGGTTGTCTGCTGTCACCCAGATACCTAATCTTGGCTTCTCTCCTGCCTCAATCCAGTGTCTGCCCCTATCAACTCTGTGCTCTTGTTCATCTTGGGGACGGCGTGTATCACACCACTGTTGAGCGGCGCTGATCCTGTGGCTGTCCCCAGGGAAGGCTTCCGGGGGCGGATGCTCCTGTCTGTGGAGCCAGGCGATAAGGTAGGTAGGAGGTGGGTCTGTGGTGGTCACGTGGCTAGTTGTGGAGGCTACTCTTCTGCTTGGAGAGACCGCCCCCCTAAACTCTCACCAGATACTGAGTGCCCCCTTCTACTCTCTCAGCCTTTCACAAGGAAGGAGGTCGTCGGGTTTGTCATTGGCTCCGTCTCCAGCGTGCTGTACCTGTTCTCAAGGCTGCCTCAGATTCGAACCAATGTGAGCTTTCGGTGGGGGTGGGGTCACAGGGCGGAGGGCTGCCGGGTTAGGCAGCTACGGTCGGGTGTTGAGAAGGTGTAGACCACAGAAGCTGCTGACATGGGTAAAGTCACCCAGCCGGCTGCGCCTCTTTCTGCCTCTGGGAAATCGGCCCCTTGACACCTTTCATGGAGACGTGCATGAGACTGTGTCTCAGCAATGGTGGAGGTCAGATGTGAGGGAGTTGCTAAGCTGAGAAACCAGAGGAGCCAGGGAATGATGAGGACCCCACTGGAGGCTTGCCCGGGAGGACGAGTCCCTGAGGGCCACAGCCAGGGGCCAGCAGGCATATGCAGCTGTGGTGCCTGGGACCCTGGGAGAAGTGCTTGGAGTTGGGATTTGTGGTTGGCCCTGGTAGGGCTGTTTTGAGTGCCAAGCCCGCCGTGAGCGTTGGGCACACAATGAAAACCCAGCCAGGAGTATGTATCATGGAGGGCACACATGGACGGTTACAAACCAGAGTGACAAGAGCCCTCTCTGTTTCTGGGGACAGAAGCTCACTCTGTAACCCAGCCTGACCCCTAACTGACTGTATAGCTTAGGCTTGGCCTTGAACTCATGATCCTCCTGCCTCAGCCTCCCAGGGGCTGGTATTGTAGATAAGAACCCTCTTTGGGGACTCTCACTCAGCCCCTTCCCCCACAGTTCCTACGGCAGTCGACCCAAGGCATCTCCTACTCGCTGTTTGCACTGGTTATGCTGGGAAACACGTTGTATGGGCTCAGCGTGCTGCTCAAAAACCCCGAGGTGGGCCAGAGTGAGGGCAGCTACCTGCTGCACCACCTGCCCTGGCTCGTGGGCAGCCTGGGGGTGCTAATGCTCGACACCATTGTATCCTTCAAAGCGTGGGATGTTGGCAGTGTTGTGTGGGCAAGGCGGCCTCTGTTTCAGCATGCACAGCCCTGCCGGCCCAGCCCCCGTCCGCACACCCATCCTCCTGTCCCTTAGCTCATCCACCTGTTCATCCATGTAGCCTTCCATCTACAATCCAGCCTTTAACCATCCTTCATTTACCCATCCAACCTCATCCACCCATCCATCCATCCATCCATCTATCCCATCCACCCACCCGTCACCCACCCGTCCGTCACCCATTAGTCACCTATCCATCCATCCACTCGCCTATTCATACACGCATCCATGTGTACACCCATCCCTTCTATCTACAATCCGAGATTTCATCCAACCTCCAAGTCCCAGCCTTGCTTCTCAGTAGCTGTGTGACCTTGCACAAGTGACCTAGCCTCTCTGAGCTCCGGTCCTTCATCTGTAGAATGGGCATCCATACCCCTCCATCCTCATCCATCTACCCCCCCGTCCATCCATCCATCCATTCATCCATCCATCCATCCACCCATCTACCTACTTGCCCATCTGTCCATCCATCTATCCATCTGCCCATTTGTCCATCTGTTCATCTGTCCATCTGTCTATCCGTCCGTCCACCCATTTGCCCATCCGTCTGTCCATCCACCTGCCAGCGTATCTGCCATCCACCCTCCCACTCACCTGTCCATTCACTCAGCCACCCATTCAGCTTCCCATTTACCCATCCACTTACTCACCCACGCCCACACCCACCCATCCACCCATCTGCGTGTCCATCAGTCCATCCATTATGCATGGACCTAGCCAGGACCAGCACCATCCATGAGTAAGGACAGTGTGTGCACTGGGTTTTGGGGTAGTTATGTAACTTCAGTGGCACCCAGTGAAATCACCACTGGACTGTCCTGGGTTGGGAGAAACAGAGGCCTCACCAGGTGTCATCGCACCTGGCTTGGGGGAGAAGTTATTCAGGCACAAGGGAGCAGAGTCCTGCCTGGCACAGCCTATGCAAAGGCCCCAAGGGACAGAAGAGTGAGTGTGTCCATCTGTGGGAAACGAGGGCTGAGTCATGAGGACGAGCACGTGTGGGGTTCCCTCCTGTTCTCTGCTTCTCACTGATGACAAGGCTGAACCGCCAGCCAGACCCTTGGGGGTCAGTCGCTGTCCCCCAGGGTAACAGCTGTTGGCATCAGCGTCTGAACACCCTCTCCATGTGACCTCTTAGTGTTGCCGAGTGCTCCCACTTGGCAAGAAGTAAACATGGTCCTTGTGTCAACATTTGGTGAGTCCCTGTAGGACGTGGTGAGAGAGAAAGGTTTAAAGTCTAGAGGGCACACATGGCCCAGCCTCTGAGTATTGTAGTGAGGAAGAGGCCCTATTTTAGGGTCCTGGGTGGCAGAGCCGGGGCATGGAGGAGGGCACTCAGGGTAGTGGGAGAGCAAGGTGGAACAGGGAGAGCGGCAGGAGCAGGGCCAGCCAGTGTGCCTGCTGTGCCTTAACGCTGTCCTCAGATCTCTATCCAGTTCCTGGTGTACAGAAGCCGTGATACTGCTACAGCTTCCTCAGAGCGAGAGCCCCTCCTCCCAAGCTGACCAGCGTCCTTGATGATGGGAACCTCGGCAGCCATCCCAGGAAGGATGAGGTGTGGCCAGTGAGACTGCCGCCACCAGACTGGGCCTAGGGGGTGGCCTGCAACTCCGGGCCTGGCTGCCTCCCCTCCATGCTGGGCCTTCAGACAGGTCTGCAGTTGGCTAGTGCTATACCAGGACATACCTCTCAGGTATATGATGGCTGCCTGAGGAGCCACTAGGTCACCCATAGCTGAGACCCCAGAAGACGGTGTGGCCACCTCCCATGTACCTACCTCAATCTGACTATGTACCCCTGGCTATATCATAGCCAGGGCACCCAGGGTTGTCCCTCTGACTGGGCACAACCTAGTAAATGGTACCTTCTAGCTGGGCCTGTTTTTGCTGCTCCTTCCCCCAGTGCTTGAGGTATAGGCAGGGACCCAGGGCAAGTCCAGCCTGATAGGGGGACCATGTGCAGCCTCCCAGTGCCCTTGGCATCCTGACTGTGTCTCTCTGCCCTCTTGTACACAGATCCTACCCTGGTGTGGGACACGGCAGCCAAGGGGACATCAGTGGGCTCCTTGTTCCTGGGGCTCTGGAAGAAGCAGATAGCTAAGGGCAGGATTTGGTTGAACATCTCCAAGGGCTTAGTGTGACCTTGCCAAGGCTGTGTAGGGTGTGGCGGTTAGCTCAAAGCGAGGCGTGTAGTCAGGTGTCTCCTATAGTCAGAACTCAAGAGAAGTAGAGAAATGGAGAAGAGGCCAGACTGGTGTCTTCCTGAAGAAGGTGGAGACCAGAAGCCCAGGTGGAGGACAAGGCCAGCAGGAGACAGGGCCCAGGGGTGATGAGGGCAGAGAAGAAGGAAGAAAGGTTGCTCCTAGCTGTCTTCTGGGGACAGAGGACCAGCCCCCTTCCCTGCTAGCCTCAGCTAACTCACTAGTATTGTAGGTCTAGAACGTCAGTCAGATGCAGGGGCCACCTGCCAGAGACAGAGGGCAGCCACCTCTGGGCGTTGTTTTAGCTTCTCTGCCCATAGTACAGAGCCAGGCAAGGCATGCGCTGCTCCCGGCCCTGCTCCCAGCCCACTGCTGGCTTCAGGTGAGCATTGCAGCTCCATGCCATCCTGGGACTTGGCTCTCTGCTAGTTTCCTAGGGCAAGATGGCACCTTTCCAAGTCCTGAAGATCTGGGGCCTCAGTGTGGCACGTGACCCCAGGTACAGGCCTGAACTGAAGCTGCACAGGCAGGAGACAATGAAATAACAGCCCTGCCTGGGTCTGTCCAGGAGGGGTGACACCCCTTCATGGGGGAGTCATGCTTTGCTCACAGGAATGCCTGTCTGACAAAGGAGGTCCAGTCTCAGGAAGATGGCAGCTTCTCTAAACCTCAATTCTCCTCTTTTCCGGAGGCTCGCTCCAGTGCTCTAAGTAGGGAAGTGGGGGACAGAGTACGGGGCTTGTAGATCCTGGTGGCCTGTTATTTTATCTGCTAGCTTCATGGACTTCAGGATCTCAAGCCTGTGTCAGCCACCGTGAGCCTCGTGACTGAGGCCAGCTCTCTAAGTCTGATCCCTCTCCCACAACACTGAAAGCAGCACGACCGACCTCAGACCCTCTATGCGCTGCCTGCATGAGTTGCACTTTTGGTTTTATGTCCCGGCATCTGGTTCATGGGTGAAGAAAAGGTGATTACATTACTATCCCCATCCAACGGGATGTAACCATCTTGTACCTCCTCAGGGGGACAGCCAGCTTGGCTAACACGACCGTGATGTAACGATGGCCCCATTGCTGCTGAGGGCCAGAAACTCCACAGCTGGCTTCCATGTCTTCTCCTTGGCCCACACTTCTTGCTTTTTGGAGGTCAGGGAGTGATGGGCTGCTCACCCTGATGTGGCCTGCCATGGGCTCCTCAGGTCCTCCCTCAGCTTCGTGTGTGGACATTCTGGTTCCAGACCAGGCTCAGCCACAGAAATGGAAATAGGCCCTCAAGTCACTCAGGGAGGAAGGGGGAGGCTGGACCATGGGCCTGCAAGTGGTTGAGACAGGGTCTTACTGTAGCTCATACCAGCCTGAAACCCACAGTCCTCCTGTCTCTGCTTCTTAGTGCAGGGACTACAGGTATATGTCATCATGCCTGGCTTCTATAAGATGCCCTGTAGGAAAGCCCTTCTGGTGCCTGGCCCTCTACAGTATTCACAAGGCGTTGCCTCCTCTGAAGTCAAGGGGCAGAAAAAGCTAGAGGCAGAGCCTAGCCAGGCTAGGATTCTCGTTATTTATCAGACCTGGGGATCTCAATCTCCTGCCCCCACCCCCAACTAGGACAGTATGGCCTCCAGGTCTCCTCCAGGAAGGGGAACAGTCCCAAATCACCCTTCTCTGTCCTTTTGTCTGAATCAGCTTCATGGCTTCCCAGGGAAGCAAGCAGGTGTGAGCTGGGATAGGAAGGCTTGAAGCTGCTACCTCATGGCATGCTTTCCCCACAGGTTCCCTCAGGTGGTAAGGTCCCATCCTGTCTCCCAGCCCTGCCCGACAGCTCTAAGGACACAGCTACCCCCAACTCCACACCTGAGTCAGACAACCGGGCAACAGGATACAGTAGATGCTCACTCAACAAAATACCTGAGACATTGTCTGGAGGCTCTGGCAGACCTCCATGTGGAGACCAGCATGTCACTAGCAAGCACAGAGGGACTTTACAGGGTGACTTGTGAATTAGAGCTTTATTGCTGTCTGGAAAGGTGCCATGTTACCTGTACAGTATTAGCATTTGAATGAAGTGTCAGAGGTAGTGAGAATGTAATTCTGTCTTGGAACATCCCTGTGCATGTACAATGCAGAGTATGCAAAGGCCAGCTGTAGAAGGAGCTCTGCAGGGAGCCGCTGAAGACAGGTTTGCTGGACAGCCCAGAGGGCTGCATCTATGCAGGTGTCATACTTAACCCAGCACGTTTGCCCAGCCCACTTTCCAAGTTGGAAAATTTCACAAAAGAGGCAGAGATAATGACAGGAGAGTGTATGTATCTACCAAGAGACATTCTAAATGACACCAAGTAACATGTAGGGGCTTAGGGGGTGCAGCTCAGGTAGGAGGGGACTTGCTGAGTATATGTGAGGTCTTGGGTTCAATCCCCAGGGTGGCACAAAATGGTCTGGTGGTGCATGCTTGAAATCCCAGCACTTAGGAGACAGAAGCAAGATGAGTTCAAAGCCCTCCTCAACTATATTGTGAGGCTAGCCTAGGCTACATGAGTTTCTGTCTTAAAAACAACAAAATCCTAGAAATAGTAAGTTGAAAATAAGGCACAAAAACACCAAATAGATTTCAGAGTGCTGTGAATTTATATAGCATGTTCATGTTCTGTATTTTATGGTTTATAAAAATAATTATTGAAAACAAAGCTCGGTCAGGGCTGGAAATCTGTTTCAGTGGTTAAGAACATCCTGCTCTTCCAGAGGACCAGAGTTCAGTTCCCGGCACCCACATCAGGCGGCTCACAGCTGCTGGCAGCTGTCCCACCTGCTGGCAACTCCAGCTGTAGGTGATCTGATGACTGCCCTCCCCCAGTAAGTAAGAAATAAAAAAGAAACAAAGCCAAGCTTGGTGGCACAGGCCTCTGATCTCAGCACCGGGGAGGCTGAGGCAGGAAGAACACACTGAAGGACAGTTTGGAGTACAAAGCAAGTGAAAGGTCAGCCTGGGCGACTTAGCAGACCCTGTCTCAAAGTTAAAAAAAAAATTATAACTGAGTACAGCAAGGAGACACAAAACTTACTTATAGAGCAAGAAAAAAATAGCACTAGTTAGTTTTTTTCCAGGCAACTATCTGTGTACCTCAGGCTGACCTGGAAGTCTATAGGTAGCTAAGGATGACCCTGCCTCCACCTCCCAAGTGCTGGGATTCCAGGCTTGAACCCGGCTCTGCAATCTGTCATGGTGTATCTTGATTATAGAGAACTCTACCCTTTAAGAAGCAGGCTCAGACAGTCTTGTTTGCTCTCTAGTGACTTAAGTATGTTACGTTGCACACGCAGACCCAGGTCCCATACAGAGGCAACCCATACTGGAAAGCTGGCCCCTCAGTAGCTGGTGTGTCTTCCTAACTCACAAGTAGCCCCACATAGGTGTCCCACCCACTGAGATCTAAACAACTTGCCTGGTGTAGCTAATCCCAGCACTCAGAGGCAGGCTGACCTCTATGAGTTCAAGTCCAGCCTGGTCTACATAGTGAAAACCTGTCTTGAAAAAAACAGACAAACAAGACCTAAACAACTATACAGTGGCATTAAGTGCCAGCCTGCGTAGACCCCATGACGGGAGCCTGTCCATTGTTTCCTATAGTTCTCTGCTGTCTTGCCTGCTGCTGCTGTTCCATTGTGTGTCTAATAAACTCTCTCCTGTCCTTTTGTCTTGGTGAATTCTTTCACAGTCCGCGCATCACCAGTCTGTCACTGCCATTCCTTGTATGGCAGTGAAGAGGTACTACCACGTACATGTGGTACCAAGGCTATGCGGGGATGGAGTGGTATGAAGAAAAGATTGTCCTGGGCATCAAAAGTCTGAGCCTATTCCACCCTCCGCAGAGCTTAGACCAAGACAGACTCCTGGCCCAGGGTTTCTGCCATGGAAACAGGGGCACCTCCAGGTGGTAACTAGAGAGCCTGTGGGACATGCTACCAGGTGACAAGACCTAGCTCATAAACCCAAATAGCTATTCAACCTTTACCCCAGCTGGTGATGTACCTTTTGGGGTGAGAGGGGGCCTTTTATTTCTTTAGGTAAGGTTTCACTGTGTAGCTCTTGTTGGCTTGAAACTTGCAAATGTAAGACTAGGTTGGCCTTCTGTTGAACTCACAGCTCCACTTTCTGCTTCAGGGTCTCTCTAGATGGCCTTTATTTTGTGTCTAGTTTTTTTTTTTTTTCAGACAGGGTTTCTCTGTATAATCCTAGTGCCTCTGTCCTTGAACTTTTACTTAATTTTTTTAAAACTTTATGTATATGAGGACACTGTTACTGTCTTCAGACACACTGGAAGAGGGCATCAGATCCCATTACAGATGGTTGTGAGCCACCATGTGGTTGCTAGGAATTGAACTCAGGACCCCTGGGCGAGGAGTCAGTGCTCTTAACCATCTTTCCAGCCCAACTTTGAACATTTTAAAAAACTATTTATTTATTTATTTATTTAATGTAAGTACACTGTAGCTGTCTTCACACACCCCACAAGAGGGCATCAGATATCATTGCAGATGGTTGTGAGCCACCGTGTGGTTGCTGGGATTTGAACTCATGACCTCTGGAAGAGCAGTTAGTGCTCTCAACCACTGAGCCATCTCACCAGCCCCAACTATGAACTTTTAAATTGATGTGTAGAATGTCTTCCTACCAGTATGTCTGGCAACCCCATGTGTGTCCAGTGCCCAGAGCCCAGAATATGGCATGGAATCCCCTGGAACAAGATAGCTTTGAGCCACCCACTGTGTAGGAGCTGGGAGTCAAACTCCGGTCCTTTAGGCGAGCAGCCAGTGCTTTTAACCACTGAACTGTCTCTCCAGCCCCAAGGGCCTTGAACATTTGATCCTTGGGATTTCCCCAGAGCTGTTTGCAGCCTGGGAAAGCTCTCTATTGTCTCCCTCAGGTCTTCCCTTTTCATGTTAAGAATGCCCCAGGGGCTCTGCCAGCTGTCAGACTCTTCCACGGAAGCAGTGAGGCATGCAAGAGCAGAGCCGAGGCCATGAATACAAACACTCTTTGACTTGTCCCACAGCTAGGAATCCTCACTGCATAGAGGGAACAGAAGCCCTTCCGTCCCACTCAGCCCACAGAAAGGTTTTTGGGCAAGGCCTACCTTTAAAGGTTGCTTTATTAAGGTAAAAAGTAAAAAAAATTAGTTGACTTGTACTTGATTGCTGTGGTCCTCCCCGCTCACCCCTTGAGTTCAAAGCAACTAAATGTACACAGCACTAAAAGGAGCAGTGTGTGTGTTTGCACATGCTTGCACACTGCCAAGGGTAGCATGTGCTGGTGGACTGCTTGGTAACCGTCACCCCAGCATCTCTCTTACTTGGTGCATATTTTTGTATCCTCTGTGCATGTATGTGCGTGCACTCGTGTGCATATGCCAGTCAGTTCTGTCCTCTGTGTGGGTTCCAGGGATTGAACCCAAGCCATTAGGCTTGGTGGCAGGCACCCTTACCCACTAGGCAGCATCTCGCTGGCCCAGTCTCCAATTTTAGTATCCTGAGAAAGTCTCACTATGTAGGTCAAGCAGGCCTGGATGTTACTGTATGGGCTGGCCTTGAATTTGTGCCAACACTCTTGTTACTTACTACTGCCTTCCTGGTGCTGTAGTTGTTACAGTGTGTGCTGGTACGCCCAGTTCTCTTTTTTAGTTGAGACAGTGTATGGCTATGTAGACCTGGCCCGGACAGGCCAGTCTCAAACTCCCAGTCTTTCTGCCTCAGCTTCAGTGTTGCTATTACAGGTATGAGTCATAATACCTGGCCTGCTCTTTTTTTTTGGTCTCTGAAGGAATTCTGTACTTTACATAGGACCATATAAGAGAAACCAGGACTGAGTTGGGGACATCACCAACATGGGGTGGCAAGCATGCATCCGTCACACCCAGGGGACACGACTAGCTGGCTTGGAAGGGTTCAGCAGGCACTGGGCCCCCCTTCAGTCCCTAGGGAAGGCCATGAACGTCTGGAGAGAGAAGCAGGTGAGCAAGAACGCACGGTCAGCACTGATTGTGTCCCAGTTTCTTTTTATTTATTTTTTTGTTCTTTTTTTCTTTTTTTTTTTTAAGTATGGAGGCTCAAGTAGAAGATGTAGATTTTGTCTGTTTAAGCTTTACAAAAAAAACAAAATAAAACAAAAAAAACTCCTTTTGCATTCCATAAAAATTGACAGAAAAGCACCTGGCCAGAAGAGCAGCCGGTCGCCAGCCCCTACCCTCACCGTGGTCTCCTCAGGACAAGGGTACACCTGCGCAGGACAGTGCTGAGGACATCTCTCCTTCCTCCATAGCTGTCCCCTGTCCCCCGGCCCCGGCTCCAAGCAACTCCCAAACACACACGGATCAGAGCTCCAGTTTTTCTTCTCTTTCACACACCAGTTAGTTCATAAAATTTTTTTGTTTTACATTTTTTACACCAATGTAACAAAAAGATGGAGGGAGCGGTGTCAGACAGTGTATCTGTGCCTATAAATGAGCAAGGGAAGGAAGGGGACAGGCGACCAAAACCACACGGTCTCTAGGGAACGCCGTGGGAAGCAGGCCTTGGAGCCAGAGGAGGGTGGTTATCGGACTTTATTTTGGGGGAGAGATGGCGCTGCGTGGTCGATGCAAACGGTCATGTGACCTGTCAGGGAGGGAAAGGAAGGGGGAAAAGGAGCAGAAAACGAGTTTTCTAAAGAAAGGAACCTAATGAGTGCATGGCGTGTCCGGTTAGCATGAAGCAGAGGTCTTTAACACTGCTGCTTTCTCTTCAAGGCCTCCACCAGGTCGTTCTTAAGCGCTTCTTGCTTTGATTTGTCTGCAAACGTCTGCACAGACCTGCCAGGGAAGGAGAGAGGATATCAGCAGGCAGAACGACGAGAGGGAAGTGGCCTGGGGCACGGTGGGTGCCGGGCTGCAGTCTGTCCTGGAGAGTGGGAAGGGGGCCCAGGGCCTGCACCTCAGTACCTTGCTGGCCATCATCTCTGCCCTGGCTGTGGGTGACCCAGACTTTAGAGTCCTAGGTCCGTGGATGGCAGTGCAGGCCTCAAGCTGTCGGGAGCTTTCAGAAACCATGCAGCCTGAGCCTTCGACCTCACACCTGCTGCCCAGGCTTCTGGCAGGGAGGTGGAGGCTCTGGACAGTGAGGACCTTTTACCGAAGCATCCATCTCAACCCTCCACCTGCAGCAGAGGCTGCTCCTTACCCCGAGGAAGCAGGAGCAACTCCTCTTCCCTACCAAATGCTTGGGAACCGGCCTCTGGATGGCTGAACCACTGCAATCAAGAGCCTCTGCGGCATGTCAGTGCTGCCGGCTGCAAACCCAGCCCGGCAGAGCCCTGCAAGTCTGCATTCTAAAAGGCAGCCCTTGGGGAGGGTGAGCATTCTAGGCCTTGCCATTGCATACTGGGTTGGCAGGGAAGCACCAAAGCCCACCCAGCTAAAGTTTGGAGACGGTTCCGATGTACAAAGTGCTCTGTGCACACATCTCAATCCTCAGAAGCCCTCTCGGGGTGCATCCCCATCATTAAGCCTGAGTTCCAGATCAGACAGAAAACAGAGTGGGAGAAAGGTCCCCTGATGGTTCTCGTTAGTTAAGAGCGTACTAAACTATATGCAGCAACTGTTGAATGCTCATAAGCGGTAGAAGAGGCAGGGCGCATGCTCGGCAAGCCGCTCAAGTTCACGCGGTGAGAGCACTATCAGCAAGTCCATCCTCAAGTGCGGAAATGGGGTGGGGGTGGGGAGACAAAATGGGAAGGAGAGGCAACCATAAGAATGCCTGAGGAGTCTTCAAGACAGTGAAGTAGGGCCTGAGCCAAGAAGCCACTGATGATGCGTGTGAGCTGCTGCCACTCAAGGATGCATTTGCCTCCTCTGGGGCACTCGGGATCTCAAGCTCTCACCAGAGGCCAACGCTAGCCTAACAGTGAGCAGTGGCGTGCGGGGCTCAGGCACCGCTGGGGTTGGGGTGGGGAGGGGGCAGACGTGGCTGACACCTCCAGCTGGATTGCTATGGATGGCGGGAGTATTCCTTAAAAGGGTTTTCTCCAGCGGGGACACAGGGAGGCCTGGGGATGCCACCCAGGATAGAACTGCCAGACGCTTTGGGCCTGAAGTCAGCACATGGACCAGACCACAGTGGGAGGAGAGTTCTCAGTGTAAATCCCACAGGCCCTTGTCTGGGCCGGGCCTTTGGTGTTCATCCCTGGGGCCCGTGGGTCCCACAAGCCTTGCTTTAAAGCCTCCTCCTGAGAGGCTAGCTGCATCTGCATCTGTTTGTGTCACAAGCCAAGTCATGGTTGTTGGCTATTGTCAACAAGCAGGATTATTTTCTGTCCTGTCGGCATGGGCTGCTAGAGGACGACTGCAGCTCATTAGGGAAGGGTGTGGGCACAGAATGCCCAGCAGTGGCCAGTCTGGAGGCATGCTGGCCTGGCTTGGGGAGGAGCACTCAATCACTCTCAGAGACTTAGAGGGAGACCACGCTTTCCTAGTCAGTGGCCCAAGGAGCCCTGGGATGTCGCTTTGGGACTTGCAGGATCCTTGGTAGAGGAGGTGGGAGGACCTGGCTGTGCTATCTGACCTGAGCTGAGTGAGCAGAAGGCAGGGCACACAGCCCCTGCTCCTTGGGCCAGTGGAGCGGGTGCACCTAGCACCCTCTGCTGGAGAGGCTGTGCTAGTGCC